GAATTGTATTAGTCTGTTCTTTTGCTACTAATAAAGACATATCTGAGACTGGGTAATTTATAAAGGAAAGAGATTTAATTGACTCACAGTTCCACATGGCTGGAGAGGCCTCAGCACACTTACAATCATGGTGGAAGGGGAAGCAAACATGTCTTTCTTCACATGGTGGCAGCAAGGAGCAGTATAAGCGAAGTAGGGCAAAGCCCTTTATAAAACCATCAGATCTCATGAGAACTCACTTTCTATCACGAGAACAGCATGAGAGTAACTGCCCCCATGAATCAGTTACCTCCCACTAGGTCCCTCCCATGACACACGGGGATTATGGGAACTACAATTCAAGATGAGATTTGGTTGGGGACACAAAGCCAAATGATGTCATTCCACCCTGGCCCGTCACAAATCTCATTTCCTTACATTTCAAAACATAATCATGCCCTTTCCAGCATTCCCCCAAGGTCTTAGCTCCTTCCAGCATTAACCCAAAAGTCCAAGTCCAAAGTCTCATCTGAGACAAGGCAAGCTCCTTCTGCCTGTGAGCCTGGAAAATTGAAAGCAAGTTAGTTATTTCCTAGATAACAGTGGGGTTACAGGCATTGGGTAAATACACCTGTTCCAAATGGGAGAAATTGGGCAAAACAAAGGGGCTACAGCAGGCCCCATGCAGGCAGTCATTAGAGCTTAAAGTTCCAAAATGATCTCCTTTGACTCCAAGTCTGAATGATAGTTTTTGGACCTATAGGATTAAATAAAATATTACAGTTTATTCTACCTATTTATTTTTACTTTTCCATCAACTCCATGGTGACTTGCATTATATCTTGATTGGATACAACTATCTAAAGGATGACTAAAGCTTAACCTAAAGCAGGGTGGGACTGAAGTGGCAATGGAGAGAAGAGATGAAGGGTGAGTGTGCTGCATGGGGTACAGTGTGTGCGAAACTACTGAGGCAAGAAAGAACCTGACATGTTCAAGGAAATAAAACCAAAGCCTTTCAGGTCACATTAAGGATTCTGAATATTTTCCTAAGACCAATAGGAAGAATTGAGGGTTGAAAATAAAATACTCAATTTTCAGGGAGTTTAATTATTAGTTTGCAGTTAATAAATGAGGGTAAGAAAACTTCAACTGAATATAGCAAGACTTTCAACATTGAAGCTCCCCAACTCCCCAGGATGGTAGGGGAGGGGAGGGGCTATTTGGTCAGCAGAGGAAGCAGGATGCTGCCCATCACCTGACCCAAACCCTAGTGTATGAGGCATGAGCACCCCCCACTAGAGAGAGAAGCAGTGTCGCCTGGGAAGAGGTAGTTTTCAGTTCAGTTCTTTTTCAGCTCAATTGATGCTCAAAGCGGAGTGGGAATTTGAGGACAGAGCTAGGAACTCGGCAGGGCACCAGCAAATGGTTTGGTGAGGGAGGGCTGTGAAGGTGGTCAGGGAGAAGGAAGCCCAGAGCATTATGGGGATTAGCAGGTCTATCCTTTGAAAGGCTGTGTTGGACAATAATAGAGGAAAGCTGGTTAAGTGGCCCAGATGCTTGGGTTCTGACCGTCTCCTGGGGTATGGTGGCTGCCCCATTTATCTGTGACCTAGAGGAGGTTTGCGTTTAAGTCAGTGGTCATAAACTAGCCGCTGTGATCTAGCCTGCAGAAGAAATTTTTTGTTTCACTCACATTTTACAAATGTATATTAGTTGCTAATATTTAAATCAGATATCAGATAAAAAATACACGTTTTCTTTTTTTTAATTGGAAGATCTAGAAACCCCAATTGCTAAGTATCACAGGGCAGTGGGCTGGAGCTAAGTAGTGAGTACTCCTTTTATTATTTATATGACTTTTTAGGAGCTTTTGAAATGATTGTTTTAGCTTTTTTTTAAAAAGACATTTATTTACTCAAAGGTTCTCTATGGTCTGACCCTAGGTCTTGCATTTGCCCTAGTCTTTGGTATCAGCAATCCCATCTTCTTTTTGTTTTCCAGAAAAGCTCTAAGAATGGTGGTGTTGACTCAATGAGATGAGGTTATAAGAAAATTTTTACTGTTCATGTTCCTTGCAGTTTACTGTTCCCATTACTCCCCATAGTCCAGCTGTACCCAGCTTCACACAGGTGCCTGGCCATGGGAAGCATCTGAGTTTGCAATTCATGCCTTCAACTTTAAATCACACTGGCTACAGCACTATGTGTTTCTTGGTAAACCCTGGGTAAATCAGCTCCAGTGGATGTTGATTGAAGTTTTCAGGTTTGCAAACTAATCCTCAGCAGCTTCTTCATAAATATCCAGCAGTTAGTTAAGTGGAAAAGTCTGTTGATAGTACCAGGGAGTAGAGAGGAAAGTGACCTTTTGTTTATCTGAGATAGACATACCAGTTTGGTACTTTATCATATATTCACCTGTGTGAGTGTATTCCTGTGCGTCAGAGTAAGGGAAGGATATGTATTTGTGTAGTTTTTGTGACTGTAGTACTATCCCTCTGTTCTAGGGGGTGTGTGTGTGTGTGTATTTTTTTCAGTAAAAAGAAAACAGATTTTTTTTTTTTAATGCAGCAAGCATATATAGGACAATGAGATACCACAAAGCTTGGTGGTGGGTGCCTGAGTGTCCATATTGGTATTGCTACATTTTTTTCGTCCCCTAGACATAGTTTATAATCAAAAGATGGTAGAAAGGTACTTCTGGCTACAAAATTTGTCTAACCATACCCTTCTTTAGCTGAAGAGAGAACAGCTTCATTAGCTTATGGAGGCTTCTCACTTGACAAGATAAACTAAGAGTGAAAGTAGAGGAACAGTTGATAGCTTCTTTTTTCTCCATCCTCCTTCTCCACTGCCACTAATAAAACATAACAATAAATGGTTACAAAGGGTGAATACAGTTTTTGATAGAGCTGAAGCTTCTAAACTACTTGGTGGATTGGAACTTTGTAAAGAACAATGCAAAAATATCTTCCATTTGCAAATTAACACACTTACACACACCCCTCCGTGTGTGTGAATTCATCGCTTGGTCTCTTGCAGGTGAGGGACTCTGAAGCTTGAACTTTGTTAGATTCCTTATTAATCTGCCCCTGGGCATAGGCAGTCACCTGGCAAAACACTGCTTAGATAACCTTTTGTTCCCTTCTCTGTTCTGCCACCCTGATGCCCCTTCTAGCCTAAGGACAGAGACATTGGGCTCCCTCCCTGGGAATTCTCGGCTTTGTGGGATGCTTTCGCCTGGGTCCTGAGCCCAAGCTCTTCTGATTCCCTGGCATTTCCCTGCTCCACTTGCACTGCAGCCTGGTACTTAACAACAGGAAAATCATCATCCTAACTGCTGTAGCCTTTCAATTTCAGTCATGCACCACATAATGATGTTTCAGTCAAGCATAGATCGCAATGATAGTGGCCCGGTAAGATGGTGATGGAGCATATATAGAAGTCTGTTATGTGGCACTTGTCACTGACATTGCAGATCAAGTAGGGAAAATGATTGATATTCAGTAATTGTGCTGGGATACTTGGTTTCCCATATGAAAAAAACATACATAAGTAAATATATATATGCCGTCTAGGTTTGTGCAAGTACATTTTATGTTGTTTGCATGTCTAAATCACCTTATGATTTATTTGCCAGAACATATTCCCTTCATTAAGCAACACATGACTGTACTTGCAAATCACCTCAATTTGATTTCTTCCCTTAAGTCCTCTGTTTGCCTTCCATTGAAATATAAAGCCTTGTTTTAAAGACTGTTTTCCCTTAAGAATCTCTAGGATTACTAAAGAAAGGTAGAAACTAGATCTAGATTCCAATTAACTTTGCCATTGATTGTTATTTAACTGTGGGACTCACAGTTTAAGTGGGACAGAAAATCTTCAGTTAATGGAAGTTGCCAAGGGTGGCAGAAGACCAGGCTGTGGTGCTTGTATAATCTTTACAACCCAGCGTGCAAAACACTGGAGCAGAGATGGAGAGGCTGGGCATGTAAACCAAGCATGTGTCAGTGCCACAAGGAGAGTGAAGGCGGGCTGAACAGCCATGTCATCAGATTCTCTGAGGACAGAGTAGGCCCAGCAGATCTTCAGGCCAGCAACTTGAGTATAGCTTGAGGGTTGCCCGTTTCCTTTTACTAGATTCTCCCCCTGCTAAGATGTAGCTGGTGTGTGCAGGATATCTGGAGAGGAGGCGGGACCTCTTTATCAGTGTGGTTCCTCTCACTCCTACAGACCAGATCTGTTTGTACAGGCAGCATCCCTCAGCTGCTTGCATTTGATAGCTTGTTTTGCATCCGGATTTATTCCTGCTGAAAACTCTGTCTTGAGGCAGGTGCGAGATTATTTAGGTGCGTATCATATTTGGTGTTAATGTCTCTTTAAATCATTTTTAATACTGTTTGAATATTGAACCAATGTGTTTTATATATCTTAGATTTTCTTGTGTGTAATGTAGTCTGTGGCATTGAAGAGCTAGTTGTCACCAGCCAGTGATACATAACAGATACCTACAGTGCTGCATTGAAATAACATGTTTAATAACTTCTGTTATAAGAATGTGAGACTGGTAAATACTTCTTTTTCCACCACAGGAAAACAAAGTGAAAAGGATGCCTTCAGTGTAGAGGCAGCTGCTGGGAGGCTGGGAATTCCCAGCTACTAGTCATTCTTTCAGATGTCTGTAACTCATTCTATTGAATCCTTTCTACTGTAAGCATAAATTGCCTTTGTATCTGGCAGAAGCACAGCATGCCATTGGAATGAGTGTTTTGTTATTTTATATCACACAATTATCATACTATACAAACATCAGAAAATTTAAGTCAACTAGGTTCCCCGTAATGAATTATTAATATCTATAGAATATGCCTGTATGTGCCCCAGTGTATCAGCTACCGGACTTCTGACTGTTCGAGGGGATTTCAGTTTCTTTTAGAAATTGGGTGTTGTAAAGCAATGTTTCTATTCCTAAGTGGTTAGTTGAACGAAGAATATAACTTAGACTTGCTCTTGTCTTTCTAGATGTATTGCTGTCCTTGAATATTAGCCCATTTGAAAACGCCTGGGAAGTTCAGCCATCAGTATGTCCAAGTACAAACTTATTATGTTAAGACATGGAGAGGGTGCTTGGAATAAGGAAAACCGTTTTTGTAGCTGGGTGGATCAGAAACTCAACAGTGACGGACTGGAGGAAGCTCGAAACTGTGGGAAGCAACTCAAAGCACTAAACTTTGAGTTTGATCTTGTGTTCACATCCGTCCTTAATCGGTCCATTCACACAGCCTGGCTGATCCTGGAAGAGCTGGGGCAGGAATGGGTTCCCGTGGAAAGCTCCTGGCGTCTAAATGAGCGTCACTATGGGGCCTTGATTGGTCTCAACAGGGAGCAAATGGCCTTGAATCATGGTGAAGAACAAGTGAGGCTCTGGAGAAGAAGCTACAATATAACCCCGCCACCCATTGAGGAGTCTCATCCTTACTACCATGAAATCTACAATGACCGGAGGTATAAAGTATGTGATGTGCCCTTGGATCAACTGCCACGGTGTGAAAGCTTAAAGGATGTTCTGGAGAGACTCCTTCCCTACTGGAATGAACGGATTGCTCCTGAAGTATTACGTGGCAAAACCATTCTGATATCTGCTCATGGAAATAGCAGTAGGGCACTCCTGAAACACCTGGAAGGTACCAGCTTTATATACTACTTATTACAGGTTGCCAAGTGTGATAGCTGGGCCTTAATCTAGAAATTAAGCTAATGATGCACTATTTACACAATAGACTCTCCTTCTCTATCCCCCTTGGTCACTTCAGACTTAAGAATCGTCTTGTTCTATAAATCAGATCTCTTGTGTGTTTTCCATTCCTGTTACCGGAAGCAGCAGTTTTCAGACTTTAGCAAGCATCAGAGTCACCTGGACAGCTTGGTGTACCACAGATTGTGGGTCCCACCCTCAGAGTTTCAGAATCAGTAGGTCTGGGGTGCACCCTGAGAGTCTGCATTTCTTAGAAGTTTTAGGTGATGGTGATGCTGCTGCTTTGGGTTCCACGCTTTGAGAAGCACTGGCCTGAAGGACTGTATGGCTTGTTATAGTGAATGAAAGGAAGCTAGGAAGGGAAGGAATTGTTGAAATGGCCTTGAAAGTAAATTTGAGTTTTTCAAGTCGAGTAAATTATCTAGGCTTCAGTTGTGCTCACTTTCTTCCAACTTTAAACAATGATTGCTGTGTTTCCAGACATAGGTTTCCTGGGCAGTTCTTTTGTTTCAATCCTCTCTTTTCAGAACACTTTTAGTCATTGACTGGAAGACAGGGGGAAGGAAACTAAAAGGATAGTTGGTTAATTTATTTATTTTGACTCTAAAACTTTGGAGATCATCAGCAGCCATAATTTTAACTACTTTATATAGCATTCTACGTGTGTACTAAAACGTACTGTATTGTTACCTTCTTTTTAAGTAACATGAATCAAATGAACTCTTTTTAGGATTCAGGTTCACTAGTTTTGAGCATCAGTGATTGCACCGTGACGCCTTCCGGATTTCTGACTGTTCTGTGGATTTCTCATTTCCCTCTCTGTCTTCACTCATCCCAGATGGTTGTACTTTTTTGCATGATGTGCCCTGTCTGGTGTTTTCCTGCCTTTCATCACTGTCAGCAGTTAGCTTACTGGTAATACATAGAAGACATTTCTCCACTATTACTTTTCATTCTGCTTTAATTTTCCATAAGAGGCTGTGACAAATAAAAAGTAAGTAGAAATACGTTATTAGTTAAAAATGAAGTAATCTTTAGCATGTGCTTATTTCCCCTAATTTTTATAACATGACCAAGAACTAAATCATTACTTGTAGAGCTGACATCTATTAGTCATGCAGAGACCTAAAAATCTATGGACTTTATTAGATACTAAAATTTTATCGACTAGACATAGCACTTGATTTGTGTGTGTGTCTGTGTCTATGTGTGTATGTGTGTGTGTGTGTGCACGTGCACACGCATGTGTATCTTATTTACTCAACTATATAAAAGGTTCTATTCCTGTTCAGAATAATTAGATCTTTAACATCATCATTAGTGATATGTAACTTCATCATTAGTGGACCCATAGTATGTTATTGTTTGAAGAAGAGTTGAGGCTCCTACTAGACAACAACAAACTGACGTTCAGAATTTCAGAGTTTCTGCCAGAGGCGTATTCTATTCAGCCATGCCAACTCCTTTTTCAGAGCTGGGACTCCAGATTCATTGAGGCCAGGCTCCCTTCTCTCAAGAAAATGCCACTGTCTCCTTTAGGAACCTCTTTCTTCACCTTCTTAGCTTTGAAGTCCCCCTTTTAAAACCGTTTCCTGCTGTTTGGTACCATTGACTGTTCACCTATCTTCACATTTATTATAGATCTCTTTAAAATGACTCTGCAGCTCAACCACAGCTCACTGTATACATTCCCTCCTGCTAATGCATTGATGATTTAACTATTTGTTACTGTTCTTTTTTAGGATAATAGCAGGAAAGTTTAACAAACAGTGGTAAAGAAGACTGTTACCATGGTGAGGGCAAAGAGAAAATTACATGTAGAGGTTGTGTTTAGACATAGCAAAGGTTACTTTTCTACATTTGAGGGAGATTTTGAAACTTAGTAATTAATTAAAATAGTTTAATCAAACTTTTGGGAGTTCCTCAGAAGGGCCAAACATAGAGTTGCCGTATGATCCAGAATCCCACACCTACGCATATAGCTGTATTAGTTTCCCAGTGCTGGCATAAGAAAGCACCCTAAACTGGCTGGGTTAAAACAACAGAAACGTGTTTTCTGGGGGCTGGAAGTCCCAAATAAGGCGTGAGCAGATTGTGCTCTCTCTGATGGCTCTAGGTGACAATTCTTCCTTGCCTCGGCTAGCTTCAGTGTTTGTCAGCAATCTTTGATGTTCCATGGCTTGCAGAAGCATCATGGCATTCTCCTCATGTGTGTGTTTCTTATCCATATCTCCCCTTTTTATAAGGCCATCAATAATATTAGCCCACCCTCTCACACCAGTGGCCTCCATTTTAACGGGATTATTCTGTTAAACACTGTATTTCCAAACAGGATCACATTCTGAGGTACTGGAGCAACCAGTACCTTCAGCATATCTTTTTGAGGGGATCACAATTCAACCCATCATAATACCCAAGAGGTATGAAAACGCATGTCCACACAACAACTTGTACCTAAACCTGCGTAGCAGCATTATTCATAGTAGACAAAAGATGGAAACAACCCAAGTGTTCATCAACTCATGAATGTATCAATTAAATGGGGTCTATCTATACAATGGAATATCATTTGTTAATAAAAGGGAAGGTGACGCTGATACGTGCTACCATGTGGATGAACTTGAAATAACTCTGTTATATGAAAGAAGTCAGTTAGGATTTCATTTATGTGAAATATCTAGAATAGACAAATCTTTAAAAACAGAAAGTAGAGTGTTTGTTGCCTAGAGGGTAGGGAAGATGGAAGATTTGCAAGTGATTTGTCAGTGGGTACAGAGTTTCTTGTTGGGGTGATGAAAATGTTCTAAAATTGATTGTAGTGATGGTTGCACAACTCCAAATATGCTAAGAGCTGTTGAATTGTGCACTTGAAATGGGTGAATTTTATGTGAATTATATCTCATTAAAGCTGGAAAAATAATCAGTGGAATTGAAAGGTGACAGGACTTGTCATTGGCCTAGAAAACAATAGGGAGGGCAAATATATAGAAGTGATAACAAAGCTAAAATGTATAGATGTGGAGCTTAGAATATGGGGAAAAATGAAAATGCAGCTTTGACCACTGGGGCAGAAGTGGACTTACAGGGCTCACTGGGAAATAAGCAGGCATTGGTCTTCAGGCTGCTTCCAGCCCTTCATCTAAAGGTCTTTTTTTCAAGTTGGAAGTATGAAACTGAATGACTTTTAGAGATTAATGACCTTTTCTTTTCTTTTGTAGACAGAGTCTCACTCTGTTGCCCAGGCTAGAATGCAGTGGTTTGATCTTGGCTCACTATAACCTCTGTCTCCTTGGTTCAAGCTATTCTCATGCCTCAGCCTTCTGAGCAGCTAGGATTATAGGCATACACCACCACACCTGGCTAATTTTTGTAAATTTTTAGTAGAGATGGGGTTTTGCCATGTTTGCTAGGCTGGTCTCGAACTCCTGGCCTCAAGCGATCTACCCACCTCAGCCTCCCAAAGTGCTGGGATTATAGGTGTGAGCCACCCCGCGCCTGGCCATTAATAACATTTTAAAGTAGCCATACATTATAACCCCTATCCCTCTTACCAGGCTTTATAGAAAATGTTTTTATTTGGGGGATAATTGACGTAAAACAGTGGGGTTGTGCAGAGAGAGGTAAATTGTAGGAAATGACTTGAGTAGGAAGTATGTGAACACAGAAAAAGACATGGGCTGGTAGAGAGGGAGGTATCTATGAGGGAGGTAGAGAATGGAAATGGTGGGGTTGGTGACCAGGGAGGATGGCAGATATTTAGGGAGAAAGAATGGCAGAAAAGCCAGAACATGCACTTAGGATAAGACCATAGCTGGAAAACAAATGGAGTGAATGTGAGGGTCCAGGTTTGTCCACAGGAAAATACAAGGGTGGTTTGTAATCTTGACTCTCACCCATCCTGGATATGATGACTTTTGTTCCTTTCTGGCCTATAGTACCCACTGGTGGTACTCCTGTTAATTCTGATGGAGTTCTTAGATGTTGATATGGTTCCCTACTGTAACTTAATTCCCACACCTAACATGGAAGAAATTATGTGATGTACATGAAATAGGCTGGATTGGATTTCAGCATCACTGCATAAATTAGTTATTGTCCCAAATGCCAATCTTCATTAGTAAAGCTTCTCTTACAGTGTCTATTGAAAAATAAGGTCCCAAGTGTTCTGTGTCACAACTGGAAGAATTAAGCATGACTTCCGCAAGATCAGAAGAAACAGTATGTGCTGTTTTTTTCACATCATTTGTGTTAATTTAGCGAGATATTAGCCATTTTAAAATTGATTATAGATGTATTCACTCACCAGAATAGGCGTGTTAGTCTAATGTTAGTCCTCTTGTATTGCATGTCTAACTTTCTAGAGCTCAAGTTACAGGAGTTTGTGTGGTTCTTGGTAAATTATCAACCTAAAAGAAAACATTTCATTGGATTTAGATGCTAACTTTTCAAGACTCCAAAAAGTAAGTGAATCTCCCCTACTGTTTAGGGGGAAAATAAATATTTTCTTTTATAGGAAGGACTACTTTGCCAGTTCATGTGTATGTGTTTATTGTGGTAAAATAAATAAAGTTACCATCTGAATTGCCAATTTATGCTTACTATCAAGTTACATGACTATATGTGCCCGTTTTGTTGTTAGTACCTGTTGTCTGAATGTAATTATTAATAGCATCTCCTGTTACTTTCAAAAGTGTCCCAGTCTGGATGATAAATTATGTGGTTACCTTACTATAAAGATGTTGAGCTGGGTGTGGTGTCTGTCACACACCTGTAGTCTCAGCTACTAGGGAAGCAGAGGCAGGAGGATTGCTTGTGCCTACGTTTGAGATTACCCTGGGCAACGTAGTGAGACCCCCTTTTAGAAAATAAAAATGTAAAAATGAAGACGTTAGCTTTCACTAGTGTTAAAAATTGAATCTAGAAATGGGT